TGATCTTTCAGTTCAATCGCAAATGACACCAACTAGCAGCCAAGTGCTTCCCTCTAGAGGTATTTTTAGACCAGTTGAAACTTACTTCATTTGAATCAACATTAACTTTCATAGTACTATCAGCACCGCAAGTTGTAATCGCCACTAAGAAAAGAGCTTACAACAAGCAGCAAGCGAAGACGACTTCTGCACGCAGCCAAACGAGAACTGTGTCCAATTCAGAAAGTGAAAGCTCGGATGAATCTGATCTTGAGATTGAAATACCTGAAGAGCCGTCCCCAATCCCTGCGATCCGCCCGACTGAGCCAGAGGCTGCAGCACAATACGATACCCTGCAAGCTGTGTGGTCGCCAAGGAACAAATGGCCTGGTCCTGAGAAGGTCAAGAATGCGCTTGTAGCCTACAAAGAGCTCGTGAAATCATTGAGAGATGCATGGAAGGAACAAGTTCAAGCAATGAAACTAGCCGAAAACCAAGAGGACAACCAGACAGCAACAAAGCTCAAAGAAAAGGTCATTTCGCAGCGTCGCACTATGGATAAAATTGCGACCACAACACTCGAAATGGGCCATCCTAATATTGTTGAGAAGTAAGTATACGTTTCCCCTCCCAACTCCTTTGTTTTCTCTCCCTTCCATCTGCATTTGATGGTCACACAAATCCTGAACCCTATCTGGGAACAACTATAAATTTTTCTTGAGAGCTTTGGATATGACAGCACTGTCACGGGCTAGAATAAAGGGCCGTCGCTCCATTCGCCGGTGGCATGGCTTGATTATGCAGGCGTGTCCGGGACACATATATAAGAATATCAGACGGAGCAAAAGATTCCCAGTCATACTGGGTCCCAGATATGCCAATATTAAGCAATCTGCGAACCTTATTGAAGTGGAATCGCTCCTATCTAGAAATTGGCTCAAACCTGCAGCTTTGCGTGGCGAAAACTTGAAAGCCTGCCATTATTGAGTTCAAATGACTGATTGTTAATCTCATGTAGGCTAGGAGAGCATCCTATGGTTGTGGCAGCTCTATATTCCTTCTTGGTCGATCGTTTCCAGGCAGCTGACTTTGCTGGGACTCTGACTATTAATTTGCTTGAGGTAAGCTTGAAGTCTCTTTCTTTTTGTATTGGAACAATTGACTAACATGGCATTAAGCTCTTCTCGCGTTTCTCTACTCTGACAGAAGACCTGATGCAAAAGACTAATCTTTCTAAATTGCTGCCAAAGTTTCTTAAAAAAGGTGGCCAGCAGGTTAAGGACCTCACACAAAAGATCCTGGATAATGCTGCGGCCTCTACGAAGCGTAAACAGGAGAGTGAAAAGCCCACCAAAGAGGAGTCGCACCCAAGGGGCCTTTCAGCAGACCAGCCTAAGGGAGATGCTGGAGTGAAGCGACCCCGTGAAGCGGATATCAATCTGCAACCTGGCGCAAAACGAATGGCAGTTACCAACAACTTGAAGGATTCGAATAAACTTGCATCTGCAGGCAATGGACCGGCCAAGGGAGCACAAAGTAGCAAGCCAATCAGCGCTGCAGCCCTGCGCCCTAAACCCACTATCGTGCCTCCCAAGCCAACAAGTCTCTTTGGTACTTTAAGCTCAGCGTCAAAGAGACCCGGGACCACAAATGCGGATAGGGCTGCTGCCGCCGCCGCCGCCGCAAAGCCAACGTATGTGCCTCAGAAGAGAGTCTTTTCGAGATCCATTTGTAATAACCCTTCACACAGTGCTGCTTCCGAAAAGGAAAAGATGCCAGCCCCCAAACCAACATTCTCCTTTGGTGATATTATGGCCGACTTGAACAAGCCAAAGCAGGCACCAACTCCCAAGCCCGCTGATGATCAGCCCCCGGAGACTGAAGCTGAGCGCACAAAGAGGTTGCGTAAAGAAGAGCGCCGTAAACTTCGTGTGACCTGGAAGCCAGAAGATGCTCTTACCGAAGTTCGACTATTCACCCACGATCCCGATGAGGAATTAGGCCCCGGTGATGGGTCATTACGTTCACGGGGAGACGTCAAAGGTGAAGGTAGTGTTCTTAAGCTTCACAAAGATTTGGACGAACTGGAAGAAGAGGACCTCGGTGGTATTCGCGAGACCGTTTTTCAAGATGGTTATGCTCTTTCAAGTAATTTATCTCCCCAATCACACCTCAGATTCATACTGACCATCATAGTGGTTGATTTCGATTTCGATGAATCAAAAGACGGCAGTTTCGTCAAACGCGGTGGCCCCCAGCTGCCAACGAGTCCCGAGAGGGAGGCTCAGGAGCACCGAGAATCTAATACCCTTATGGTTTTCTATACTTCTCCTGCCGACATGCCTGACACACCCAAAGAACCACCAACTCCTGACTCCGACGAAATCGTCACCGAGATGTTGCCTTTCGGAGAGTTGCCCGACATGGTCAAGGTATGCTACATTTCTGAGAACAGCAAAAGTTAATACTAAACAAAAATACTATAGGCCCGCCAGGAACGTTATTACTCCTACATCAACCCCAAGCCTGCGGCACCCCAACAAAGCCAACAACTTCAGCAACCTCCCCCCGGGGACAGTGGATTTGACATTTCTAATTTACTCAAAATTATCCAGGGGGTTCCTGGACAGGTGCAGCCAATCCCACCGCCGCAGGCAACTCAACCCGGGAGCATGCCGGATCTCGAGAGGACCATCAACATGTTCCGTCAGCAACAACCTCAATCTCAAATTACTCCGGCTGCACCGATGCTCACTCCTCAGCCTCAAGGCCTTGACTTCAACGCGATATTGAATGTCATGAAACAGATGCAGGCGCCTGTTACATACTCCCAGCCTCAGCAATCACAATCAGCCATGGCACCCAACCTCGGCGCCATGTTCGCACAATTCGGTGGGCAGAACCAACAAACCGGTGCTTTCCCATTCCAACAGCAAGGCCATGAATACGAAGACCCAGAGCGTAAGCGAGGCCGCGAGGGTGGTTATCATGACGACCAGTCTAACTCCGACTCGTGGAGCCGTTCGAAACGGACCAGAGTTGGCGCCAACGAGGCCAAGCCTGTAAGTACACTGCGGATCCAGTACTCTATGATAAATAGTTGGCTAATTCTTTTGAAACAGTACAAAGTGGGACTAGTTGCCTGCAGATTCTGGGCTGAGGGCAAGTGCCGCAAAGGCGACAACTGCACTTTCCGGCACGATCCTCTTTAGCTTCAAACATGTATCGCCACAGGCTTCCTTTTCCACTGATACCCTTTTACTGCTGTTCCCTACACTGGTACAATCTTCCTTCCTCCCCTTTATGCATTACTACGTTGGTTCATTGTTTCTTCTCTATCATGTACTGGGTCATTGACATGCATTTTACAACTAGAATTCTCTGGTTGGCGTTCATCGCACGGGTGCATCTCATGGCCTGGGAGGTCAGCACATAATGATTCGTCCTCTAGTTTCCAAAAAATTTTGCATGCCCACCAGGGTTCAGGCGTTTGTTTTTCCTTTTCACTTGTTTCGCCTTCGTTTCCCACCTCGCAGATGCATTTAGCGAAGGGGCCCATATCTGGGGTATTGTGGTGCATGGATGAGGACGATCACAGAAATGTACAATTAGGATGTCTTTTTAAGTTTTTTTCACTGGCACGAATTATCTTCAGCGCATGATCTCTTTCTTCCCTTTAATCTCTCAACAGTAGCGGAAAAGCCGGACCATAGATAGAGGTCCTCGATTCTCTTCGAACTCCTGGGCAGCCACTTACATCGGAACTAACGGGAAACATCTACAAATCTAGATTAAAAATGGTCTGTTTCTGGATCATAAGCAGGATCCTTTTCATGCCATCATGATACCATAAACCCCCGCTAGTCGTTCTCCTATGCATCCCTAGAGTGAGAGCCTCAATTCCTGGGGTCATAGAACGGGATACCCTCGGCCTTGTCAGGCTCCTTGGAGCGGAAGAGATGGACCGCAGTATCGGGTGACTCGTGCCGAGCATATATATCTCAAATACCTGCCATAATTGAGTGCTTTTGGGTGGCTGGAAACCGATCCACCACGAAGAAACCCGATTTCCTTCTCTTCAACATGTCGCGGGGATCATGAATTCTGAGCTTGTCGGCTGGTTTTCGCGATGGCTCCAGACACAGGACTTCAACCAAGTCCGAAGCATTGACACATGACTGGTCATGGAAGGGAGATGTGTGGATAGAGGATTTGAAGGTGAATGAGTCGGGAAGGAAAAAACGAGTTATCTAGAGAAATACAATACGTAAAGAAGATTAGGGATGTTAGGGATGGAATCCGCCCATTGATGGGAAATGAAAATTGATGTCTTGAAATCAAAGAATTAGGAGAATGTCCAACATTCTTTACCGCCCTTCTCTTCGTCGATCTAAGACACAACTTTGGATGAAGTGGTTCACCAAGGATATTCTCAACACCAGTCTATAACTTTGCTATATGTCTAGCATCGTTTGGAAATGTCGTGCGTTGTGATTCACCCTGAACAATTCGCTTGATCGCCCGAAATCCACCGATATGGCCTTGACCTCAGATGCCAATTTTGCTGTTTGCAACCACCTCATTGTTGTCTGCTGCCATGCCATTTACACCGGAGGCTCACATCTTGGAGCCTCAGAAGATGAATGGTTAGTGCGATCATAAAGAACCCTTTATACGGAAGGCATCACCTGATGCACTGAATAGGTTGATTGAGCCCTTCCAAAAGGGAGAAACACCCACATTTATCAACCATGTCAAAGCGGGATTGAAAGCTCTGACCGAAGACTCCCGTGGATTGCTTGTGTTTTCTGGGTAAGGCTTTCTTACCACATTCTTTTCAATCTCTTATGTTAATCCATTGCACCCTTGCAGAGGGCCTACTAAGAAGCCTGCAACTGAACTCAGTGAAGGTCAATCTTACCTTGTAAGTCTCTCAAATACTCCACAACCGAACATCCAGAAGCAAGCTCATGTAGAGCAACATCCAGAACCTGGCGAGAGATAACAACTACTTTCAAGACATGTCTACTATCTCCACACTTGACCAATCAAGAGTCATTGCAGAAACCAACGCTACAGATTCATATCAAAACCTATTATTCTCTCTAATCCAGTTCTGGATGTACACGGGTGTTTACCCGCGGAGAGTTACCGTTGTGACGCACGAGTTCAAACGCGCTCGATTCATGCAGTGCCATTTCCCAGCCGTGGGACTCGTCCCTGTTGGCCTGGAACAAGAGGACTATACACATAAAGCTACTGTGATAGGTATTAATCCACCAGAGGAAATCACTCTACCAGACACCTTGACTCGAGGCGAGGCTACGAATGGGATTGGGCTTTGGAGAGAAGATCTTTACGGAGTGAACCCGGATCTGGTAGGCAAAAGGGTGAGGCGAGGCTGGTCTCCCGGGATGCAAAACTACACATTCTCCTGTCTGGGATTGGAAAGTGTGGTGCTGAATCTAATCCTGTATGATGGGGGTGATCATTGCAATAAGTGGTTCCCGAAGCGAGAGAGTTTACCTTGGTCTTATACTAGACATGATACAACCAAGGGGCTTTGATTTTGATTGAGAACAAATAACAAGACTGCTGATATGATAAGTGGAAGAAGTCCTTGATCCTTCCTAGAAACGCCAATCCATATTATCCTTCGTGTTTGATCATAATGTGTCACCGAGAGCTTAATCCGCCAGCCGGTAGCTGACCAGAGTTCCAACTCGGTGATTGTTTGTGCTGAAGCTCCTTAGTTGGACCTTCTCTGCATTTTTGATTTCCTTGGCATCACTGTCGCCCCATTCCACGGGCACGTCTGAATCGGCGTCGGCATAAACAAGTACATTGAAGGTGCAGTCGCCATCAAGGACAGGGAGGAAAGTGACAGAGGCGGTAATTTGGCGGAAGATGGCTTGAATCTCCTCCTGGATTTGCTTTTCTGTTTTCTCGATAGGTTTGGCGGGGTTTGCACCTCTTCAAGACACAAATTTTAGCGGTATGTTCAAGACAAGCTCACAGTGAAAAAAGCTTACCCTGATGTACTATTCTCTTTGTCATCGGCTTTTTGTGAACTCTTGCTCTTGGATTGCTTGCCAAAGACTTCGACCTGTTCCATCACGTTTTGGTTAGTTTCGGACTCGGATGGGAGAGTGTCAAATGCATACATCGAATTGCCATCTCTCCACATGTTCACCGGTCTCCTTGCTCGTGATAACTACCACAAGCTTCGAAATCTTTCCTCCCTGCATCCATTCCTTCAACTGCGACATGATCTTCTTGATGTAGGCTTTGACCTGGTCGTCGGCCGAAACTGCTGTGAGGTTAGGGTTGTCGATGTCAATTAAGCAGAGCATGGTTCACGAACCTAGCATATTAAGGCCATATTTCTTAATCCTATTTCAAGTTAGCTTGCTGCAGTGTAGTGGGCAAGGTTAAGAGGGCAGACTTACGTTGTGAAATCCTCGGGAGGATAGACTCCTCGTTGGAAGCTGAACGCACAATGCGATCAGCTAACATCTTGGATTGAGGATAAATAGCAACTTACAGGATGGAGTTAATGGAGTATTCAAACTAGGACTGTTAGCACTCAAATTCCATCGACGCAACCAAATTGCGACTCACGAATTCGGAGACAAGCTTGGCCGATCCTGTTATCTTGTAAGCTTTGTACAGCCACCATAAACGATGGGTATGAACCTTTGATTGACAGCTTGTGCACCTTTGACTTTCCCTTGATTTCCGACATGATGAGTTTGTAGATAGCCGAGGACTTTGAAGGTGTAAGAACGGTAGAGCTTTGTGTAGGTCGAGCGGTCACCGCAGCAATAAGCCGTCACCGCCCGGGCGTCCGTTTTTTCTCCGCAAATCGTGATGAGACTAACAGCACTGAAGCGCTAATCGATTGCCCCGCTGATACGCCTCGATTCGACGCTTGCATACCATCAGCCCTCCTATGCCACCGCAGAAGTCCCAATGCGAGGATGTCTGCAGTTAGGCCGATGGCTGAGCGCAGCGCCGAGATGCCAGGCCGCGAGCCTCCGACCGCCAACTGTCTTTTCTTCGTATAGTTATAAACGGAGTTTCTCTGCTACTACAATTTCCTATGGACGCTCAAAAACCACGCCGATAAAACTTGATATCAGCCTCGAGAAGAGAATCGCCGCCATCCCAATCGAACGTTTTCGCAATTTCTGCATCGTTGCACACGTTGATCACGGCAAGAGCACGCTTTCCGACCGATTGCTCGAATTGACCGGCACTATTGAAGTGGGCACGAACAAGCAAGTTTTGGACAAACTCGACGTCGAGCGAGAGCGAGGAATTACGGTCAAAGCTCAGACGTGTACCATGATCTATAACCATAAAGGCGAGGATTATTTGTTACATTTGGTCGATACGCCTGGCCATGTGGACTTCCGTGCTGAAGTTTCGCGGAGTTATGCCAGTTGCGGTGGAGCCATTCTCTTGGTTGACGCCAGTCAGGGCGTTCAGGCGCAGACAGTCGCCAATTTCTACTTGGCCTTTGCGCAAGGCCTCGAGTTGATTCCCATTCTCAACAAGGTTGATCTCCCCTCGTCGGATCCAGAGCGGGCTCTGGAGCAGATAAGAAACACATTCGAGATTGATACAGAAAACGCGGTGATGGTCTCGGCAAAGACTGGATTGAACGTTCCGGCTGTGCTACCGACGGTGGTGGAGAAGATCCCTGCGTATGTTTAACCAGCTGCCTTTCAAAGTGCTATTTCTTGCTGACTATATGCTAGACCTATCGGCGATTCGAAAAAACCACTTCGTATGCTCCTCGTGGATTCCTGGTACGACTCCTACAAGGGCGTGATCTTGTTGGTCCGTGTTTTCGATGGCGAGGTGCGTGCAGGTCAGCAGCTTATATCCTTTGCTACCGGTCTCAAATATTTCGTCGGTGAAGTCGGCATCATGTATCCAACCGAGACAGCACAAACCGTTCTCCGTGCAGGTCAGGTTGGGTACATCTACTTCAACCCTGGCATGAAGCGGAGTAAGGAGGCCAAAATCGGCGATACCTTCACAACAGTCGGTTATGAAAAGACCGTCGAGCCTTTGCCTGGATTCGAAGAGCCAAAATCGATGGTCTTCGTGGCTGTATACCCAGTGAATGCGGATCTCTTCGAGCATCTAGAGGACAGCATCAACCAGCTGGTTCTAAACGATCGAAGCATCACAGTACAGAAAGAATCCTCTGAGGCCCTAGGCGCCGGTTTCCGCATGGGCTTCTTGGGAACCCTTCACTGCTCCGTGTTTGAAGACCGCCTACGACAGGAGCATGGCGCCAGTATCATCATTACACCACCCTCCGTCCCAGTCAAGGTCGTGTGGAAAGATGGCACCGAAGAGATTATCACCAATCCCGCCAAATTTCCCGATGACGATAGCGTACGGCTCAAAGTTGCCGAGGTTCAAGAGCCATATGTTTTGGTCACTTTGACTTTCCCAGAAGAGTACCTAGGAAAGGTAATTGAGCTCTGCGAGGCCAACCGTGGTGAGCAGCAAAGCATTGAATACTTTACAGCGACTCAGGTCATTATGAAGTACGAGCTGCCTCTGGCCCATTTAGTTGATGATTTCTTTGGAAAATTGAAAGGAGGCACCAAAGGTTATGCCAGCCTGGACTATGAAGAATCTGCATGGAGAGCTGGCAATATTGTCAGGCTACAACTCTTGGTGAATAGGGAGCCAGTGGACGCTGTGACGCGAATTATGCACTCTAGCCAGGTGAGCCGGCAAGGCAGAATTTGGGTAACCAAGTTCAAAGAGCATGTTGACCGGCAGCTTTTCGAGATTATCATCCAGGCTGCCGTCGGTAAGAAAATCATCGCTCGTGAGACTATCAAGCCTTACCGAAAAGATGTGCTGGCAAAATTGCATGCTAGTGATGTAAGTCGGCGACGAAAGCTGCTTGAAAAGCAGAAGGAAGGCCGCAAGAGGTTGCGAGCAGTTGGAAATGTGGTGATTGAGCACAAAGCTTTCCAGGCATTCCTGGCTAAATAGGCATGTAAATTAGCATCCAAACATATTGTATAACATTGTTTCTGGACATCTTTTCATCCAGAAACATCTTTCTATGTAACCTGCAAGCCGCTCGTGCCAGCGGTGAAAGCTTCACCGGCAGAAAAAAAGTTCATGTCAAGCCCCGCCCTAGAACTTCTTCCTCTGCTCATTCTCAGTTCACTTCATAGTGTCTATACACTTCCGCTCAATATCTGTGGCTTCTGATTGTGGATCTATCACTTAATACCAGAGTTCTTTCATCTTCAGGCCCGAAGTCTCTTTCTTGGCGGATTTTAGCCACCTCTGCCGATCGCATCACCTTGAGTCACCCTGCCATGCGGAGCATTTGACGACGGCCATGCAGCCTCCAGAGGGTGCGCAGGTAGACCTGGGCAAGGCCCAGGTTATTGATAGCGTTCCTAAAGTGATCAAAGAACTGAAATTTGGTGTCTTGTACGCAGTCCACTCACATGTGCTTGTCACAAGCGTTTGTCGCAGACCTGATCGCTAATGAAGTTTTTTGCTCTCAGAACCAACGATGACATTGTCGGCCAAGCAGTGGTGGAAGTTTCAGACCGAAAATTTTTCGACTTGGACCAGACGCGAACGGTCGTTGCAAATGGACCTCTCGACCAGCGCATGGGTATCTCGAACAAAACTGATGCTTGCGCAACATGTGGAAACAACCTCAAGGACTGCAATGGTCACTTTGGCCATGTGAGATTGATCTTGCCATCTTTCCACGTCGGTTATTTCAAGCGTGTCATCTCGATCCTCCAGGAAATTTGCAAGGAATGCTCAAATATTCTGCTCCCCGAGGCGGAGCGCCGTTCCTATCTTCGTGAAATGCGCCGACCGGGCCTTGATAACCTACGCAGAACGCAGATCGCAAAACGCATCAACGAACGGTGTCGGAAAACCCGTGAATGTACATACTGCGGAGCGATCAATGGGGTCGTAAAGAAGACCGGAACAAGTGCTCTGAAGATTACCCACGACAAGTTCCGTGCATTCAATGTCTCGGTTTCCGTCAAAAAGCAAACACCGATCAGCAAGGATGTCTTTGATAACTCCTTCCTCGAGGCAAGAGGCGCAAACCCGGACGTCGAAAAACACTTCAAAAAGGCGCAAGATGACATGAACCCCCTTCGCGTTCTTAAGCTATTTAAGAAAATGTCCGACTCTGACTGTGAATTGATTGGTATGAATCCCAAGGAGGCTCGTCCGGAGATGTTCCTATGGCAATTCATCCCAGCTCCACCGGTTTGCATTCGACCTTCAGTGGGACAAGATGGTGCATCTACGGAAGATGACTTGACCGCTAAGCTAGGTGATATTGTGCAGAGCAATATCAATCTTAAGAACGCTCTGCTCAAAGGTGCTCCAGTTCAAACAATCATGGAGTGCTGGGACTACATGCAGCTTCAAATTGCTGTCTACATCAACAGCGATGTGCCTGGACTTAACAAAGCCGATCTGGGAAAACCGATCCGAGGCTTCGTCCAACGCTTGAAGGGAAAGCAAGGTCGTTTCCGTGGAAATCTGTCAGGAAAACGTGTTGATTTCTCCGGGCGAACTGTCATCTCACCCGATCCAAACTTGCGAGTTGATGAGGTTGCTGTTCCTGAGCTGGTGGCAAAAAATATGACCTATCCTGAACTGGTGACCAGATACAACAAGGAAAAATTGCAGCAACGGATTTGCAACGGTAGCAACAAATGGCCCGGAGCGAACCTAATCGTCAAGAAAGGAACTGGATTCAGACAGATGTTGAAGTACAGCAATACTCAGCGGATGGCTGATGCGCTGCAAGAAGGTGATCTAGTTGAGCGTCATCTTGAAGATGGCGATATTGTGCTGTTCAATCGACAACCTTCCCTCCACAAGCTCAGTATTCTATCTCATTTTGCCAAAATCCGCCCCCATAGGACTTTCCGATTGAACGAGTGTGTCTGCAACCCTTACAATGCCGATTTCGATGGAGATGAAATGAACCTTCACGTACCGCAGACTGAAGAAGCACGAGCAGAAGCGATGGAGCTCATGGGCGTGAAGAACAACCTGGCCACGCCCAAAAACGGAGAACCCATCATTTCTGCCATCCAAGATTTCATCAGTGCCGCCTACGTGTTGAGCAGCAAAGACAACTTCTTCGATCGTGCCTCCTTCACGCAAATCTGTCTCTATATGCTTGGCCCTGAAACGAGATTCGATCTCCCACCACCATCGGTTTTGAAGCCCCAGATGATGTGGACTGGCAAACAAGTCTTTAACATTCTTATGCGCCCGAACTCATCCGACCCCGTTATGGTCAACCTGGACGCCGCATGCCGTGAGTTCAAGATGCCCAAGGATGGTCGTCCCAAGGACTTGGATCCCAATGATGGCTGGCTAGTCATCCGCAACTCGGAGGTCATGTGTGGTGTGATGGATAAGTCTACGATTGGTTCTGGAAAGAAAGATAATGTTTTCTACATTATGCTCAGAGATTTTGGACCACCGGCAGCAGCCGAGGGCATGAACCGCCTGTCAAAACTGTCCGCCCGATGGTTCACCAACATCGGCTTTTCAATTGGTATTGGTGATGTCTACCCTAGTGCAGGCCTCGTTCAGTCGAAAAACGATCTTGTTGAGGCAGCTTACTCGCAGTGTGACGAAGTCATTGCCAAGTACAAAGCCGGCACTCTGGAGAAGTATCCTGGATGTGACGAATTGCAAACCATGGAGAACCAGATTTCCGGTATCCTCAGTAAGGTCCGTCAACAAGCTGGTGACGAGTGTATCAAGCAGCTGAGCAAATACAACTCTCCCCTGATTATGGCCACATCTGGATCCAAGGGTTCTAGTATCAACGTGTCCCAGATGGTTGCCCTTGTCGGTCAACAAATTATCGGTGGTCAGCGTGTACAGGACGGTTTCCAGGATCGTACTTTGCCACATTTCCCAAAGAACGCACGACAGCCTCCGTCGAAGGGATTCGTTCGCAACAGTTTCTTCTCAGGGCTGGAGCCCCCAGAGTTCATTTTCCACGCCATGTCTGGTCGTGAAGGTCTTGTCGATACAGCTGTCAAGACCGCCGAGACTGGTTACATGTCTCGGCGTCTGATGAAATCCCTCGAAGATCTGTCATCGATGTATGATGACACGGTCCGTAACTCGTCTGCTGCTATCGTTCAGTTCCAGTATGGTGATGACAAGTTGGATCCCGTGGACATGGAGGGTAAGGCTAAACCCGTCCACTTCGACCGAACATTCATTCACTCGGAATCCACTACGTACAACAATGACGAACGAAGCTTGTTACCGAAGGAAATTATGGAGGTCTGCGAACAGATGCTTTCAAAAGAACGTGCGAAGCTTAACCGCAAGGACTTGCTAGGCAATGACTTGGCGTACATGGACCGCAGCGATCACGGCATCGATCAGTTCGAAAGTGCTCGTGACTTCCTTGACTCTATCCAGGAATACGTGCAAAAGAGAGCCGACAAATTGATCTCTCGAGGTGGCGATTTCGACCCGTCCGACCAGCGGAGCCGCAAGGGCTTGGATCATACAGGTAAACTGACAGATACCACACTGCGGGCTTTTATCACTGCCTGTCTATTGAAATACAAGAAAGCCCAGGTCGAACCCGGCCACGCTGTGGGTGCCGTTGGTGCCCAGTCCATTGGTGAGCCCGGAACACAAATGACCCTGAAAACTTTCCATTTCGCCGGTGTCGCCGGAATGAGTATCACGCAAGGTGTCCCTCGTATTAAAGAAATTATCAACGCTTCAAAAGAGATCAGTACTCCCGTCGTGGCTTGTGAACTGGTCAACAAAGAAAGCACTATCGCAGCTCGTATTGTGAAAGGACGCATTGAAAAGACCTTCCTCAGCGACGTCATCCGCTCCATCACGGAGGTTTGGTCCCCTGATGAGGCTTACTTGAAGGTTGTTCTGAACTGGAAGACTATCGAGGATCTGGCGCTGGAGATCACGACGCCGCAGATCGTTGAAGCCATCAAGACCAACAAGCGATTCAAGGGCAGCGATCTTAAATTCTCGTGTAAGCAAGCCTCAATCAAGGTCCACATGGATCTTGATCCGGCGAGCAAGGCGGGTCTTTCCAAGACGGAGATTGCTGCCACCAGCGTTGATCCTTTCCTCCGCTTAAAGCATTTGAAGCGTATCCTTCCTAACATCCAAATCCTGGGTCACCCACGTGCCACTCGTGCTATTATCCGTACGGACGAGACCTCGACCACGAACACTTTACTCGTCGAAGGCTACGGATTGAGGGAGTGTATGACTACAATGGGTGTGGATGGTCTCCGCACCAGGACCAACAACATCATGGAGGCGCGAGAGGTTCTGGGTGTTGAAGCTGCTCGAAGCACAATCGTTGTCGAAATCAGTGAAGTCATGAAGGACATGGACATCGATCCTCGTCACATGCAGCTTCTGGCCGACGTGATGACCTACAAGGGTGAAGTGCTCGGTATCACACGTTTCGGTCTGGCCAAGATGCGTGACTCGGTGCTTCAGCTTGCTTCGTTCGAGAAGACCGCCGATCACCTTTTCGACGCCGGTGGCCTTGGTCGCACCGATCTCATTGAGGGTGTGTCGGAATGTATCATCATGGGCAAGACGGTGTCACTGGGTACAGGTGCTATGGAGGTTGTGCGTAAGCTGAACTTCTACCAAGGCCAGATTGGCCCACGAAAGACAGTCTTTGAAGATGCTTGGACTGAACATTGTGAGGCACCTTTGACAAGAAGACCCAAGAGGAAGGTCCGATGAAGGGACTGTGACTCTGTGACACTGTGCATTAATTTTGGCGTTAAAAATATGTGCCTTGTGGACAAGGCCTGTACATGTACTTACCTGAGCGGGTGAATTTCATTGACGATATGATCAATAGTTTTCTTTCAACATATCTTTTCAATCCTCTTTTGCCCTTGACATTGCTGGGTGAATCGGGCTCCATAACAAAAGTCCTACTCCTCCCAGTTACGACCACTCTCCAAAGGTTCGAACAAATCACAAAAATAACCAAAACCAAAAACAAAACAAGCAAACAAGCAAACAAAAGTTGGGGTGTGTACGGACGTGAAGTCAATTTTCAACACGACTGTAGAAAGATCCAGGGACAAGCTTCTCTTCAGGTTATATTCAAATCTTCAACCTTCTTACACAAAGTACAAGAAGTTCACAACATCCCCCAACGAAAGGTCTTGGATTCTCACCTACCTCTAGGTACTCCTATACCGAAATCTACAAATCTTCCCGGGGATAGCACAAAGATTTCTTCTTTTGTCCCATACAGCTGCACCCAGCCGAATAGAGACATTCCAGAAATACGATATCCGAGGGCCCGTTAGGGTCAGAGAAAGGGCCAGGGAGCTCTTTATTGAGGAAAGAAGAAACACAAGCATCAAATCACCCACGAGAAACACCCATGTAGGGAGTGACCAGGGAGTGAATCATCCTCCAATCAGCATCGTGAAACCCCTGAGGCAGCCATGGGTGTTCGCCTCTGGCCATCACATTGCCTCGACAGTTCTCTGTTACGCATTGCCTTACCTGGCCACGCCACATCCGTAAGCACTCGGTGGATTGGATGTTTTTTTGTTTCCGAGTCGGCAGTGGACTGTACCTCTCTCGGGGGTATTGATTTCTAACTGAATATCCGTGGGTCGCACTTGATCATTTACATCTCCCCTCATCTATCTCCCCGACCTCCCCGAAAACAACCCGGATTTCCACTGTGGATGATTATGGAGTTTGGCAACCCAAGAATCGCTAGGAAGCGGGAGATCCGAACACGAGCCCCGACAGCCTGTCAGACCTGTCGGCTACGCAAGACTCGATGTGACAATACCAGGCCGACCTGTAGCTACTGCGCCGTGCAGGGAGTGAAGTGCAACTACCCCGAAACATCGCCACAGCAGAACCAGTAAGATATCCTTGTCCATGGGTGTTAAAGCGGAAGGGAACAGACTTAGCATTGACTGTGTTCTTAGAGTTGGGTTTGACCCCGGGAACCCATCGAACAATGAGGTGCTCCAACGACTGAATCATATCGCTGGTTTGCTAGAGAACTTCAAATCTGAGGGCTCCACCAGCTCGACCCGTTCACTCAAAGAAGGATTTTTTGAGTTGGCCATGCAGAACCCTAGCCCCGTAGCTGATTCATTGCTGGGCAGCCATCCACCTAGCACCAGCACTGGTAGTGTCGATGACCGGGGAGCCGATAATGATCCCCGAGTCCTTTACATGGCTAGCTCCGGTGAGAACATGCTCCGATGGCCCATCTTCAACAAGGTCATCACCGAAGCCGAAAAGCATATCCGATCCTTCCTACTCGACTCACTGGATAACCAGCCCCACAGTATGCAGGCACCGCGACAGGTGGGAATCGGAAGCTTTGTCGATGAGATCCCTAGACTTTGCAGAAAGTACTTCCTACTATGTCACCGAAGAAACCCGATTGTCGATTTAGACAGTCTAGACCGCTATGCCAAGGAGGTCACCGTCCAGGGTCTTGGATGGGATGGACCCTCGTGTCAAGTGGTATGTCAGCTCCTTTTTGGGAAGTCCCACCTGAACTAAATCATATCTGTAGTTGTTAGCGTGCGCCTTAGCTTCGTGCACATCATCGAAATTTGTTCCGCTGGCGGAGGACATGCCAGCGAATCTCGATGGACTTCAAGCTCCACCCATGTCAGACGCCAATCTCGATTTGGCTGAGACATATTTTCACGCAGCAAAGCAGAGATTTGGCTTCTTGCACACCTCCCCGACAGACATACAGTGCTTCCTTCTTGCTGGAAGCTACCATAGACATGTCATACGTCCTCTACAAGCTTGGTTCTGCTACCAGCAAGCATCTTGCAGATTAGAGGTTCGTTTGCGGTCGCTGTGTAGAGAGCAATGGACTGCTGATGATAACTACCATAACCTGGAGTCGAGACTGTATTGGTCATGTATCCAAGCGGAACAGTAGGTTTTTTTTCCCACCGGGTTTTGAGATGTTCATCACACTAAGTATTGTCGACAGTGAGATGCAAAGCGAACTCCCTCTCTGGAGCAGTGGTCTAGAAAGCCTAGGTTATTCAGATCCATTCCCCAAATTCTCTCGCAGATCTCCTTCATCATTTGATCAAATGGAGGAGGATCAAGATTTCGCAGTCAGGCCAGGCTTGGAACTGGATGGCACCGAAGAAGAAAAAGGCTGGAAATTCTACATCGGGTCTATCTGTAACCGCCGGACCACTAATGACATAGTGTCTGATATGTGGCGTCAAGGCGAAAAGGGCTGGACCAAAGATATCCCCGATCTCCTCAGAAAAACAATGGACGCGGAGCGTGTTGTAACATCATGGTACGAGCCACAAGCCCCAAAGTCCCCCGAACAGTGACAATTCCCCAACTCGTCTTGCTGATTCTTCCCAAAGGTACCAAATCTCGCTAGGGGGAATCCAGTCCGCAAAAGACAACCCAGACCTGAGATTCTTCTTCCGTGGTCGGTACCACATGGCACTGGAGAGGATCTACCGACCAGCGTTCTACCTCGCGATGCACTTCCAGGGGATGCCTACATTCATCAAAAAGAACAACCCAATATGGGCAGAAGTGTTCCACCTGGCACAAAGGGCCATTGAAAACTGCGTCACGCTAATCCCAAGCTACTGGTACCAGTTCCGACACGAATGGATCTGGAATGTGGTGCGTGCCAGCTTCGCCTGTGCTGTACACATCCTCGGGGCTGTTTTATATCAGCTCGAGGCATCTCGGGACCCTAGTACGTGGCAGGTGCAACTACCGGTGAATTGGACTGCGTTGGTAAGACTGTCGATTCGTACGCTGAAGCATTGGTCATCGGAGTCTACCGATCTAGAGGTTATGGCGTCGACTCTTGAGAGGATGTATCAGGGTACTTGTCGGTTGGTGAATGTGCGCCCTGATCTTCATCTGATCAATCGTTCATGAGGAGATACTGCGAAAAGGAATATACATACAGGGGTTGTGAACTCATGCATCCACATAATGATGAGATACTATGCATTGATGATTTTAAAAACAATGTCATTCTGCTGTATTGCAATTAGAATATCAAATCCGACCATTGACATCTAAATCATCCCAGTTAAGTATACAACGGGTTGTCCTCCGAAGATCCGCCCCACCACAACTTTTTCCTCTTCACTTCAGCACTTCAGCACTTCATCCCATTCCACCTCTCAACGTCTCCTCTCCAACTTTCTCACCATGGAAGAATACAAACCCCCACCTCTCCCCTCTCCCTTCAACCATACCACTCCACCACCAACCCTCCTCACCCAAGGCGCTGAAGCCCACCTCTACAAAACAATCTCTCTCAACCCCTCCATCCCCGCCGCGCTCAAGATCCGCCCATCAAAACCCTACCGCCACCCAATTCTCGACCGCCGACTCACCCGCTCACGGATAACCTCGGAAGCACGATGCCTGGCGAAACTTGTACGGGACGGTGTGAGCGTTCCAGCCCTTCTAGCCCTGGATTGGGAGGGACACGGCGGCTTAGAAGGTGGGTGGGGCGGCGCCTGGTTGATGATGGAATGGATTGACGGGCCGGTGGTGCGGGTAGTTCTGGAGCAGTGGGAAGCATGGATGAAGCAGAATCAAGGCTCGCTAGATGAGTCACAGATCGAAAACGAAGAGGCGCGTGTGCGCGGCTTGCTGAGAAAAATGGGCGCTGCTATTGGTGTCTTGCACAAGGCTGGTGTTGTGCACGGAGATTTGACCACCAGTAACTTAATGCTGCGGCAATCTGCGGATGCAAGTGATGCTGTCGATGGCGCCGGCTCGCCCTCTATGGAGGGGGATGTTGTGTTGATTGATTTCGGTCTTGCGTCGCAGAGTAATCAGGATGAGGACCGGGCGGTTGATTTGTATGTGTTGGAGCGGGCGATTGGAAGCACGCATCCGCGCTCAGAGCCTATGTTCGATGCGCTTATTTCAGGTTACCGGGATAGCTACAAGGGTGCTCTTTCTGCGCTGAAGAGGCTTGAGGATGTGCGCATGAGAGGGCGGAAGAGGAGCATGCTTGGTTAAGCCAGTCTCGTTTGATTTTAGGAGACGGATGCAACCTCCACATCAACTATGATCGATTTAAAGCCAAAAAAAAGAAACGCCACGCTTGTCACGACAGATATCCTGATTGACGATGCAAAGAAGAAAAAAAAAAGCATTCAAGACTGGTCCTTGAGACTGTGACCGACATCAGCGGACGCAAAATACCCTTTGTTCTCGACTACTCCGCGATCCTTGACGACTGCCGTGTACTTAACCACCCACTGCGGCTCGATATCTCCCTGAATGCCGTCATTGGCTTCGGGAGATGAAGCCAAGACTCCCGCACCACTCTTCTCCACGGGACCGAGCAGTTCCCGCGTCGTGCCGACGGGAAGAATATCATCGCAATCGTTATGGGTGAGAAGTTGAATCTTCTCTTGTTTCGCATAGAGAATCAAATGTTTAGGAACGACACAGCAATCCTTAAGATTGATTTGATCGACTGAGGGCTTGACCTTGGTATGCGACAGGAAACGGGCCAAACGTTCGCTGCCAAACTCAGCGACTCCCAATTGGGCGATGACGCCCTGCTCGTGCAGCGACTCCAACACCTGCCATGTCTGCACCAAGCCGTCGAAGTCGACTGGTTCACCGTTGTTCAGTTCGTTATCTTCTTCTTCGCTGTCATCGTCCGCATCGAACAGGATCCCCGGGAACGAGACGATCAGTAGGTCGATAGACTTGACGTGTAGTTCCTTCAATACCAGATCAATGGCCTCCCTGGTGTGTGCGCATCGCCTTGATACCGGGATTCCCGGTAGGTAGAATAGTTTCACTGTGATATCGTATTGATCGCGCTCCTCTGACAGGCCAGGCTGTGAGAAGTCGATTGCAGGAATGTAGAGACCATCTTCGGTCTGTAGGGTCCATGAGGGTGGATGCGATACGACTGAGTGACCATTTGTGTCGGTGCCGTTGGCCGGTGAGGTTTCGGTCTGTTGCGAGGCAAGGAAGTTCGACCGAAGTGAGTTGATAAGCTCCACGTTTGATTTCTGGGTCAGAGGCTGGCGAATGACGGATTGCCGTCCAGCTTGCATAATATTCCTGTCAGGGTTAAGTGACTTTGATTCAAGGCGCATAGAATAAGACCACTTACGAACTGGATAAAATCAACTTCATGATGAAAGAGTAATAGAGGCTCTAGAGATAGATATAGAGATCTAAATCATAAGTGTTGAGGAAGAAGAGATCGGAGTCCGAAAGTTGAAAGTTGAAAGTTGAAAGTTGAAAGTTGAAAGTTGAAAGTTGACGCAATTCACCCCGCGGAGAGCCCCTCAAAACGAGCCTGACAAATCCAACGTTCCTCCAGCTTCCTCTACACCACTTTACATCTCTACCCTGCAACCATCTACTTCAATCCTCATCAACAGTCGGATCCCAATCTGTGGGAGAGTACTCTCCCGTATCAAGCAACTTCATATCCTCAGCCGTCAACTCAAAGTCAAAGACATCGGCATTCTCCCGAATGCGCTTCGGCGTAGTAGACTTGGGCAGAGGCACGAATCCCTAACACCAGACCGTTAGCATCCTGATTCTAGATTATCTCCTTGACTCTGGACCAAATTGATGACCCTTACCATTTGCAAACTCCACCGAATCAAAACTTGCGCCGGCGTCTTCCCATACTTCTGCCCGATCGACAACAACACAGGCTCCGCCAACCGACTTCCATGTGCAAGAGGCGAATACGCCTCAACAACAACCTTCCTTTTCTGCAACCACTCCACGATATCCGAATGATCCAGCCACGGATGCAGCTCATACTGACCGACATCGATCTGACCACCCCCACCACACAGGATGTAAGCCTCCAGTTCTTCGAGGTGGTGGATGCCGTAGTTGGAGACACCGATGGATCTCACTGTGCCTGCCTTTTGGGCTTCCACTAGTGCATCCCAGGAACCCAGACGGGCTTCTTTGCCACCGTAGGGTGCATGGATTAGAACACTGGTGGTTAGATTTCAGCGGTGAGATTTTAGATCCTAACTCCATAGGAGATCTGTTGCTGGGTTTCCGCAAGGGCTTACAGGTCAAAATATTCCTGTGCCGCTTCTCGCAGACTGGAACTGATAGCTTGCTTGGTTGACTCGTATCCCATGGATCCCGGCGGGATCTTGGTCGTAAAGAAGATCTGTGATCGATCCAGATTGGAATTCAGAATTGCGTTTCCACAGGGCTTCTCGTTGCGATACATGATTGCCGAGTCGATCTGCGATATCTTTAGTGTGAGCTTCTTGCGATCTTCCCGGGGGACGTACATGGCGGAATCCAACGTGCAAGGCTTCGAGGGTAGACTTCTCGGTTGCGGATGATGGACTGCCACTTGTTTAGAGGATTCATCAGAACGAGATCTTGATTTAAACTTACATCATGTACACCTGTTTTCAGACAGCGTCAGCTTTACGCTTGAAATTCACATATCGTGTTTGCGGGGTAACTGACCCCATATCCTATAACTGGGATCTCATATCCTGACTGTAGTCGATGCTTTGACTGAAGAGTAAGGTTTGCCATAGTTATTGAATTGAATCTGCAGAAACAAGAATTCCAAGAAGTTTGACAAGAAGCGATTGAGATCATAGTGGGGGATTGCTGCCAGGTTCCCCGAATAGGAATCGTCCAAGCTCTATAAACCCCCCATCCACCGCAACTTGGTATGTTTATTATACTAGGTTGATCAAATTGAAAGATTGTTATAGCCATAATTTAATGGACCAGAAGTGATCAGACGAGGACTGTTCACGATTTAATCCTGCTCAATGTACTCCGGATCTGCATTTGAAGTCAATAGCGACAGGTTAAATCAAATCAAGTCAATACGCAAAACAGTCCATATGTACTCCGTACGGTAGAATCGATCTTGGGCACCGGCCAGAGAATCTTCTGACTTATCGAAGTCCCATTGGGCATGCTGCGGATTGTTGTTTTCGGCAATCCCCAACGTTCGCAGCAATATTTCTAACATGGATTAAACTCCTACGCCGACTTCCAGAATCTTTGTTCTGGAATTGAGATGAGATAAAAATTCAGGGCATTAATCACAACCGCCTGGGCCCTATGGGATTCGGTAAATCTAACCCTGTTATAAGCGTCAAAACCGAGGTATGGACATGACTACTTACTTCTTCGGAGTCAAATTCTTTCGTAGATGCAGCTCAAGCAAAGGGAAAAGAACTACAAGATAAAAAGCAAGCAAAGCAATGGTTGTGGGACTTACCTGGGGTTTATATGTTGTATTGTTTGAATGTGTGCGATGGGAGGAAAGGAGATGAGTAGTCAGTCTACTATGGAATTGATGTAACCATTGAGAGGTTCAAACAGTTTTGGATTTGAATCTATGGATTTTAGGGATTTATCCCCACTGTTCTTCGGTTGCTGGGATACCCCTGTGGGAATACCAGTAGGAAACAGGCAGCCAGCCAATACTAGCATGTCGGAATGGCCCTGGTCACGCTTCAATTGATCGAGAGAACATATTCGCGACACTCAAAAAGGTCTCTCCGGCTTCTATAGAGTCTAACGGCACGCAAGTGACCAAATATTCCTTGCGTTGCTACTGGGATACCGGCGATCAAGTCAGGCACTGCCCTGACTTTCGGACCGTGGTGGAGACCAATCTAGCACCAAGGAGTAAACGCCCGATTGCTGCGCAAACTGTTTCAGCCCCTAGCTGAGCCTCAAATAAAGTCATGTAGAGCGAGAATTATATCTTATCGTTTTCGACTTTTACCGGACAGCTGAAACCTAAAAAAGGCCATGGAGATAGACCCCGATTTTTGGCTATAAGCATCCTCCGGTCAGTTGTGGGGCCCACGCTATTTTAGCCCTAACTCCGTGTCCCCAGAGTCAGTACCTCTAACCTCAATGCCAGAAACCCGTGCAAGTCTATCGGACAATCGATGTAATTTGTAGTTCTACGGATAATGTGTTACAAAATAATTGAAAATACATACATACTACATGCTCTGCATGCGGTCAGAGTCCCTCTTCATCCAAGGAAAGGCGTTTATCTGTGTTCACTAAATGCTAATAAAAGATTCTGAGCAGCTAGAGAAGAGAATTAAGATAAACTTCATTCAGCTTTGACCCTAGGAGTGTTCAATTATTGACAGTCGCAATCCAAACTTCAGCTTCCTCCTTTCCCCCACTATGTCCCTCGCTGTTTGTCCTATCTTCCCTCAGTTCTCCTACAGCATCATCCTCTGCATTCATTTTTTTTTGGCTGACGTGTGCGGTAATCTTTATCTGTCTTCGGTCATACACATACACACACACTCTCTCTCTCTCTCGCGCGCGCCAATTTCGTTTACATGAATACGGGTATGTTATATAGTTCCTAATAAGACAAGGACTAACAGAGAAACCGTGTAGGGTGAACTTACCGATCATCTTGGACACTACCTAAACTTCATCAAAAGGCGGATGATCGCCGACGTTATGCGAAGTACAAACTATTCTATGCGATAAAGTGACAAGTCTACTGTTGTGATCCTGGCTAGTGGTGATGGAGATGCAGAGTGGTGACTCGCAAGTAAGTTGTCCAGAGCGGGTACTATTCAGTGACGTTCTTGGAGAGCACGGAGTATCCATTCGAACGTAAAGATAAAAACGTTTGTATTTGCTAGCTTATTTCGATAAAAGCAAAAACTTGTAGTAAATGTCATGCACCACATGAACATTTCTAAAAATCCAACAATCTTCTCTCTATGTATACAGATACAAATCTTCAAACCACCAAACTAAACCTTTCTTTCCAGCTCCGCCTGAGCCTCAGCATCGATTTGCTCTTGCAACTTACGGTCCGCCTCGCGCTTGAGCTGATCGGGACGACGAAGAGCAATGTCCTTAGGACGGAAGTCACTGAACAGGTGCTTGAGAACATTCTCAATCAACCAGCAGCCACCGTAATCGAAGATCATCAGCAAGGTCAGAGTCACCTTGAACTCGTTGGTAAAGGGAACGAGGCGCAGCTTCTCATTCAGCTCGGGGATGAATTCGGTAGCGCAGGAGAATGCAACACCCGATGCGGCGATGAGACCCCAGTACATGCCCTTGTTCTCGCGGATGGACTCGCGGAAAGGACGACCTTGGTAGTTGATCGAGAAGGTGGAGATTTGCTGGATCAGCTGGAGGAGGTAGATGGCACTGTTCAGGAGGGAGGGCTCAAACTCGCCTTCGAGATCAATATCGGAATCTCTCCTGTCGGTTTTGTTAGCCATGAAGTGGGAGACATCAAAGAAAGTTATTATAACGTACGGCTCATGCTTGTAGACATAGTTTGAGAGGTAGATCAAAGTCGCAATGTGGATGGCAAACTGTCCAAGAACGGACCCAATGATGTAGACGTTAAAGATATTCGGCTGGGGGCGCTCCTTAGACAGACCCTCAACAGACTTCACACAAAACGTTAGCAACCCTTTTTGTCAGCATGGACAAGTACGACATACCTTGGCGCGAGAAATAGAAAGGAAGCAGACACTCATCAGCATACCGCTGATGGTGACCTGTCCATCGCCAAACTTAATACCATCTAGGTAGATGACACTCAGACTGTAGGCACTGATCAAGCAGTTCAAAGCAAGAATTTTGTACATCTGAATGGTCGCAACCAGGGTGCAACGACCTTGACGAAGAATGTTCGGGATAGCAATAACGTTGGCCAACTTGCTGGTGAAGGGAGCAGCGACTGATGCATCACCCAACTTGATGGTGGGAGGCTCGCTTTCATCCAGCTCCTGTTCCATCATGGAAGCTGTGAGCCTGTCTGCAAGGCCAGCTGCGGCAGCCTGAGCCTTCTGCTGTTTCTGCTGCTGGGGGGTCAGATTTGATTCCTGCAAGGCCTGAGCACCAGGAGACGTGATAGTTGGGATAGCTTCGGGGGTGGCGCCAGTAGCGGTGATCGCGGTACCCTTGCGCTGCGACTCCCGTTCCACAGCTTTCTCGTAGTGTGGGTTCGAAGGGCCGGGGGGGTACAGGTGAGCGATTTGGACAGGGACTGGAGGGGAGGGCTGGTTGAATCTTTGCATCATGCTGACCTGCTTCTCGTACAGCTCTTTCATCTTGGTGGTACGATAGTGTTCAGCGATCCTAGTTAAGTCATCTTGCGAGCCGTTCAGAAGCGCGACACCGACGTGAGCTTGCTTCAGAGCGCCAACATCGTTGGTGCCATCACCGCACATCAGAGTGGTGTATCCAGCGTCCTTGAGACCAAGAAGAATGTCTTCCTTTTGCTTGGGAGACACACGAGCATAAACCCAGGTGTGACGGAGCAGATCAGGGAGAGCCTTTTGGTCCTTGAACTTTGCCAGGGCATATCCAGTAATACAGATATCCTTAGTCTTCAGGATCTCCGGGTCGAGGGGCTTAGTGGGATCGACATCGACATTAAGCTTATCGTCGACGGTACGCCAAACAATCCTGGTTCCAGAGTTGTCATGTTCGGGGGCATCAAGAATGAGGACCTCACGGTCAACAATCTCAACCTTGCGTGCGACGTGAACAGCGGTCAACGGGTTATCACCAGTAATCATGACAACACGGTGGCTGCTTTCGTTCAGCATACGGACAGACTTGATGGCATCATCCTTCAGGGGGCACTGCAGGACCAGGAAACCGGCAAAGATCAGCTCGGATTCAACCTCGTCACGAACATAGTTGGTCACACGGCCCTGGGAAAGCTCCGATTCAGATGAAAGGTACTTGTATGCAAGAGCAAGCACACGAGCACCATTGCGGGTGAAGTGCTTGTAAGTTTCTTCGTAGTTGGGCGGTGTGTTGACCAGCATAGAGTTGATGGTCTCGGGGGCACCCTTTACACCCACAAACGTGGACTTGACCTTCTTGGAAGTCTTGCGGTCATTGGTCGTAATGGTCGCGATGGTACTTTGGCGTTTCAGGGCTGAGGAGAATTGGAATCTTCTCTTGATTTGAACAGACTCGACGTTACGACCGGAGACAACGGGGGCGTTGCCCTTCGAAGAAAGAGTATCGTTCTTGCCCAGAGTCCAGCCAAGCCATTCTAAGGTAGCCTTCTCCATAGGGTCACCGACAACCTCACCCTCATCCAGCTTCACTAAGGCGTGAGCACTCGCGAGAACGAGAGTGGTGTTTGGTCCAACAGCAGCGGAATTGGCCAATTCAGTGTGGGCACCATCAGCTTCGACCTTGGAATCAGCCTCACCCAAAGTGAGTCCAGCAATACCATCAACGACAAGGTCCTCTCCAGTCAGGGTACCAGTCTTGTCGAAACAAGCGATGTCAACACGACCAGCGAAAGGAATACGGAAAGGCTCAGTGCAGAAAATGGCATACTTGCTCAAAGCAGCAAGACTAGTATTGACGGCCAGGCTCAGTTCCATAGGCAGTTCGGGGGGAACAACACTGGTGATGATGAGGACGCAGTCAAGCAGAAGCTTGGAGCGTTTGCGGTCCCGGATCACACCCTCTTGCCACACATACCATGAAGCGGCAATTGCGAAAATCAGGAGGAAGAGGATGAACAAGAGAGCTTCAACGTTGTTGGCAGAGACACGTTCAGTCGAGTAGATCATGGTCCGGACAAGGCTACCCTGGCTGGTTTCGAACCCGGTCTTGACAACCACACCCAGCGCACCATTGTCGGGGGGCATAGTAACGTTGCTGGACAAGTTCTTCAAAGCCGAGTCGGCAGTAAGATTGGGGTGAGTAACTTGGAGGACCTTGGTACCTCCATGCACAAACGATAGCTTATCCAATCCATCCGGTTCAATCAAGTCAGTGCCGGGACGGAGCTGAACAGAGTCTTTCAGAAGAGGTGTGCTCTCGCCAGAAAGCATAGCCTCGTTCACAATGACACTGCCTTCAACAAGAAGAATATCGCAGGCAACGCCACTGTCCTCCTTGGTGCGGTTCACTGACATGAGATCACCGGGAAGAAGCTTATCACTGGTGATCTCCTGCCATTTCCGTTCACGGTATACCCAAACATCGTATGGTTTGATGCTCATTCCACGGAACTCACTCAGTGTCCTCTGGCGCTGCCACACAACAGTGCTTTCAAACATAACAAGCATGAAGAGCGTGAAGAGGGAGTAGTACCAGTATTCATCCAACATCCACAATCCAACACAGAAAATCTGAAAGACGAAGAACGGCGCAACAGCGTGCTCTTGGAAGAGCTCAATGAAACCGGGAACGGGGATATCAAAGGTGTTATCGCCATAGTGATGATAAACGCGGTCAATCTCAGCCTTCGACGTGAAGCCTTCGCTCAGCTGGAAAGTCTCAAGGGCTGGCTTTGGTTCATCGTCAAGGACGTAAGACAAGGGTGCAAAGGTACGGGTTTCAGGGTAAAAGAGGAAACGGCGCTTCTGGAAGAGGAACGAAAGGGTCTTCTTCGTGCCGGTGGTGTCATAAATCAATTTGCAGATCTCGGCAGTGCCAGCGTTAGTGATGGGAACCACTTTGATAAGCCGGGCAGTGTCGATGGACTTGGCTCGAGTAGTAGTGAATAGGGTGTTTATGTCAATGTTCCACTTTGTCATCAACCAAAAGAGCGACTGGATTGTGATGATGGATCCCGCGAAAACGAAGGTCCATTCCTGTCCCTGGATGTAGGTATCATAACGCTCGGGGGAGAGGTAGAAAGCGAAGAAGACGGGCCAGATAATCAGGAAAGGCCAAACGTATGTGTGCAATTGCCAAGGAATCGGGTTATGCAACGAGGCAGTGTGGATCTGAGGGTCATCCACGAGCTTTGCCCTGTATATTGTTAGCTGTAGCCGCAAAGAACCGGGGATAGGTTCAGTGACGCACATGGTGGCAATCTATTGACCGCGGTCAGTGTCAAACAACCAGACTATTATAGACTCATACGAAGCCGGAAGCAATGATAAAATCTAATCGAGGGAATGCCCAGATTCGTAGATGAAGCCACCTTCCACCTCACAATTTTGGTTCCAGAGGATTCGCCGCTCGACGCGCTAGCATTATGTCAGCCCGCCCCAAAGGTTTCAGGCTAATGTAGCAAAATTTTGCACTTTCTTTCAACAGCCCAGCCGGGCTAGCTCAATCGGTAGAGCGTAAGACTCTTAATCTTAAGGCTGCGGGTTCGACCCCCGCGTTCGGCTATTCCTACAAAAAACCAACCTAAGATTTCTTTTTTGGCTCTTTTCTTTTCGATCTTAGTTGTATTGCCCAATTACAAGATGATGGGGTTTGTCTTTGGGAGTTGAACACCCCCCCCCCATTTCAGTGTCGAATTTGGATAAACACTATGTAGCTTGCTTGCTCCGAGGCACAACAACAGTTCAACCATCAATATCATTGGAGTACAAAATATCCCGCGGTCGTTCTCTGCTTAGGCTCATTCGCAGCATACCTATGTGCATGTATATATATACATACAAGAACAGCATGCCTTTGGGATTCCTAGTTTGTTCTATCCATCCTCTTGTCTGCTATCTCCTGGCTCAATCCCTCTACCATCTCCGTCAACAACCTAACCTGCTCCTGCAGCTCCCTAAGTTCATATGTACAACTGTCAACCTTGATATCCGGCGTGGTCTCTTCCACGTGCTGTTTCCAAGTGTCATCAAGATCAAAATTGACTTCCTTAGCCACATGCTCCCATTCCTGAACACAGTCATCGTCTTCTTCGCCGTGGCGGCGGTTCCATCGAATCCGGTGCGCTTGACGGGTCTCTACCCAGGCTGCAACGACAAGCAGAGGCGAATAAATCACACCCATTACAAGATCATTCAGCTTGGCGTAGGCCTCCTGCGAAAGCCACCATTCGAATGGGGCTATCAGAAATAGAATCTCGACGAGGTTGAATGCTTGTAGCACCCAGAGCAAATTAGCCACATTTATGCTATCGGAACTGATCAAATACTCACGCGGGATGAAAACATTCTCATCTGGGGCACGGACAAACTGCATGGTTTTCTGCGCGAAGATAGCCATATACTCGTCCGTGGCGTTGTCAGAGATGTCTTCATATGCGCTGTTGTACAAGGCGATGAGAATATTCAACAAAACTGACAATCGTTAACATTACCCCCAATCAAGTCGATTACAAACCTACCAGTCATAACAATGAAGTTGAAAACATAGTAGAGGATGATGCCAAACGGAAATGCAAAGTCCTGGAAAGTGTCGAACTCAGGACTCTGCATGATACTGTTTACCATTCCCTGGAGAATGTTTCGGTGGAGGGGGATATCGGCATCCACCTGGGCCATGCCGACGAAGGCCTGGAAGAAACCAGCCATAACCACAAATAGAAGTGCAAAGAATATCAAACTCTCCTTCATCATGACTCGAAGAACTACAAACATAGCACCGAAGAAGCGGAACGAGTCAAGATATAGCATCATGCGCATCCAAAACATAGGGCCCGCAAAAGCCAGGAAGTTGTAGCTGAGCTCGTTGTATAGCCGCCTTTGTTCATCGTGGGTGGATGGCGAGTGTGCCAAGGCAATGAAGCGTAAGACAAGTGACACCGCAAGGATGGTGTAGAGGGTTGAGTTGAAGGCATTCCAAAACTCGAGATAATTCCATCCAACCTTCCAGAACTTGATCCCCTCGTCGCAGATGAATGCAATGGTCATACCGTAAAGAATGGCTTCGGCCACATCCACGTCACCAGATGGGTTCACGGTGTTGATAACTGCCGTATAAATTGCAAGGTAAATCAAGGAGAACAAAATTTGGCAGAAGTTCTGATACAGAGGAGTCCGCATCCTATCAGGATGGAAATGAACCCAATATCTGGTGTTAGACTTCTCGCTGTATTCGACAAAGTTAGTTGGGTTTCCTTCTTCCTGACAGATCCAACCCCTCCACAGGTACTGGATACATCTTTGGTACGAGGCAGAGCTGATGACCCTCAAGGCATGGAGATCTACCGCTCGTTCAATGACATTGGCGGGGTCAGTCTCCACACCTTCACTGAAGATAGAGTAACGCTTGAGCAAAATTTCCTTCAGCACGTAATCTTGGTTCTGCTCCGATTCGATACTGTTCAATTTTGTGAGTATATATCAGAAAGCCTGAAACCTCAGGGGGCATTACATGCGCTTGGCGATGATCTCGCAAGCCACAGCCCGAACCTCGTGAAGATCAGAATCCCAAAGCTCGACAGAGGATTGAATCTTGAACCACCGCAGACAGACTAGAAGACAATACACAATGCAAGCTTTGTATTCGTCTCCACCAGCCTGTTTGGCAGTCTTAACCACATCCTCAGTAATGATGCGGCTATTTGGGTCAGTCAAGACATTCTCCTGCACTTCGCAGGAGACAACCTGCTCAATTTGATATTTCAGCCGAAGAGCAACCTTAGCAATCTCCTTTGAAGCATCAGAGGCATCGGACTCATCGGTAGCATAGGCCGGTAGCACTGTGACTTGTCAGCAGTGTTCCACAGCGCGCGTTTGGAAATGACGTACGTCGACGACGTTCCACCTCGACGCGGTGCCGGGTCCTGCCGGGATCGGCGGTAAAGATGTTTCTCCAATGTCCCATCTCGCGAATAATATGCAAAGATTGAATAGAAGGGTGAAAAGAATTAGAAAAGATGAGAGTTCGGCCCACTGAGAGTTTTGACTTGAGGGGGCACCAATGATGATCGGCGGTAGATAAGCTTTAGCTCACTTCGATTTAATGGGCATTTGATCGAAATTCATAGGAGGATGGATTTGTAGGTCTATATAGGTAAATACACATGGTAGTCTCTACAAGGGTACGATTTGCATTTAAAAGCATGACTGGCATTGAACGTCTCGGTTGCATCGCAAACATTATGTGCATTAGAACTTGCACCCTGTGCGGGGCCAGCGTCTTTGAGAGACGGTGAGCACGAGGATTTCGACCGCAATTGGCATGCAGCGCATGCACAGGCGTGGATCAATCATTCCCAGACCCGAAGTTCAGGCGACTGCCCTAGCTGAAGGGCGAGTTCTGATTGCAATCCTGCCCATCAGCACACTGAGCCATTGAGCCTCTCTCCGATGTGTGCAAGCTTTTTTTCTATCCATTTTTGCCCAACTCTCCTCTAGCGGTGGTTCCAGCTTTGGATTCCAGCGCTGATGACCGCTGTATGCCCCTTGATACGGAGTCAAGATCCGGTACTTACTCGGGAACGCCCTCATCGCTCTCAGAGTCCTCATCACCGCTGACCTGGGTGTTCTCACGTTCGCGCTTCTCCATAAGCTCCTGCAGGATCGCATCGTCGTGCTCGGTGACGGCCTTGGGTGCCATCTTGACGGTGCAACTACCGCCATGCGCCTTGATACGCTCTTCGATTTTGACAATGGCCTCCTCAAGCAACTTAACACCGAGGGTCTTATCGAGACATTGGCTGGCCAGGACATAAAGAGGAGGAGCCACCAGTCTAACCTTGATCTGGTTCTCAGGGGTGTTGTCGGCCTCAGCGGTGCGGAGGGCATCCTTGACGGCGTCGATTCCATCGTAACCAAAGCAGGTAACCTCAATATCGGCACGGACCTTGGTAGGGTGGGGGGTCAGCTTGCTGTTGATGTATTGCTGCAGCTCGCTCTTGACGGCATCGCTAGGGAAGGTGATCTCATCCCAGACGTTGGGGTTCCTGGAAAACAAGTGTCAGAGGAATCCTCTCATATAATGAGACGAAAAGTACAAGAACATACGTAATAGAGATCTTGAAGGCATCGTGCGCGTGACCATATTTCTGGTTCAAAGGCCACCCGATGTTCTCGTATAAGGCCTCGAGGGGGGTCTGAGTTGCCTCTGCGACGTGGCGCATGATAGAGTGCACTGCCTTGCTCTTGTTGTAACGTTCCTCGCACTTGATGACATCCTCGGGAGAGACACGTCGCTTCGACAGATCAATATAACCTTCAAGTTGACAAGTTAGTTCTCGGGTTCTTCCAGGCCAATTTTGTATCCTTGCCTTTCTCCTTGTCGACACGAAGCACGATGACGACCTCGTTGCGCCCAATGCGAATGAGCTTCTGGATACTGCGAATACGTCTGCGAGAGAGTTCTGAGAGGAGAATCATGCCGTCAATGTTGTCATATTCAAGCAGCTTCACGTATGCGCCCATCTCGGCGATCTAACTCGTGCACACAAAAAATTAGTCCCCGCCGCTTCAGTCTCTCAATCGATGATTCAGTTAATTCGTACCTGCTTGACATTCACCATGACAAAGCTGTCCACCTCCGGGTACTTGTCCTCATAGAACCGACAGTTTGTTAAAGACATCTTGGCGGGGTTCTGGGGGGGGGGTTTTTTTTCTCGAAGAAATCTAGGTGCAAAAGAGACAGATTTTTATGGCACACTCGAGACGATCAATATAGTGGCCAAAGGAATATGAGTGATCGTAAAGTCAGGAATGCAGGAGCGCAGAGAGGAGAGGCGACGCGAATGAGGCACAATCTATCTCTTTGTGGCGGACTTCAAAACCCACATTGACCTGATCAGTCACGGGACTGAACAGCACGTGATTACACAAACACACCGCCTTCCAAGGTCGAAGGTTTGATCTTTGGCTGACACATCCAATTACGTCAACGGAAATCAACCAACAAGACGGAAATTTTCCTTGTACAGAGTATGCACTTCGGTATTCGATGGCATCAGACCTTCCTACGTACAAGAAAATTTCCTGGGATTGTGCTTACCATGCTCGTTATCTTCATCGCACAGTCAATCTCCGAGGCTCTGCGTTGATACAACGATAACGCCTGCTTTCCCCGCTTATCATGTCCCCTAGCGCGCCGCCCCCCTTGGCCCATGCCTGACCGACAAAAACAATTCAGGCTAGGCTTATCACTAAACTGTTTTTAACCTTTTGGATTTAATAATGGTTTATGGCGTGCTACGGAGTTTCTGGTTTTTAAAGATTCAATTCAACACTCCCCAGGCGTATTTTTTTTTAAGATCATGTCTGAGACAAGTTCAGTACACCCTGGGGAGTCCGACGGACTCGGACGTCGGACTCCACGGGACCGCAATATCAACACTTTCCGTTCGTCACCTCAAACTGGTCTTGGGATTTCGACAAGTTCAAGCCATGAAAACCAAAAGGCACAGGACACCCAGTCTGGCACCAGGGTTACGAGCGAACCAGATGTGAGAACTCGACTTCTGGAATCATACCTTCAGGCCGATCCTGCGTGTGATGAAAGGCGCTGCAGCCATGGAACATTCTCGCCTCGGGTAGAAGATTTGGGAAGGCAGTCATACATTGGAGGACCAGGCGATGCATTTGGGTATAACGGACGTGAAGTGGCTGACGGTGCGGTCGGTCGCTCTAGAGGTGTAGTAGACCACCCGGAGTCAGTCCCAGATTCAGAGACTCCTTCACAGATGAAATCATCTTTCTCTTTTCCAATCACCGAGACGAATAAGCAGTAGGTCGTATCTAATCCATGGACTGCGAGCACTTTCGTTAATGGTAACTGACAAATCAATGGCAGATACATATCCTACTATATTCCCCTCTTCAATTGGATTGGACAATATCATTGGTCATTCCTGCGCGGAGATCTCATGGCTGCATTGACTGTGGCGTCCATCTATATCCCGATGGCCCTCTCTTTGGCCTCCAATCTTGCTCATGCACCACCCATCAGCGGCCTCTATTCTTTCGTCATCCATCCCTTGGTCTATGCCATCCTAGGAAGCTGCCCGCTCCTGGTAGTTGGACCGGAGGCTGCGGGTTCTTTGCTAACGGGTGCTATTGTCAAAGCAAGTGTCATGCAAGGAAACTCAGGCGAGGACAATCCCACAGAAATCGCCCTCATTGTAGGAGTGGCTACTGCTATGTCCGGGGGCATGATATTGATTGCCGGACTGACTCGCCTAGGGTTTTTGGATAACGTGCTCAGTCGACCATTCTTGCGAGGATTCATCACTGCGATCGGCTTTGTGATTTTTGTAGACCAGCTTATCCCAGAATTGGGTCTGGCCGAGTATGCCAAAGAAACCGGGGTCAGCCATGGCACCAGTGTTGAAAAACTGATTTTCATCTTTCGACACGTTCGACAGTGCCATGGACTAACTGCTATCGTTTCGATCGTCAGCTTTTCTGTCATCATGGTGTTCAGGTTCGTACCGCGCCCCGGGGCTTGTATGCATTATACTGATTCCCCGCAGAACTTTGAAAAAGATGCTTGTGCCTCGTATCCCGCAGGTGATTTATTTCCCAGACCGTTTCCTGGTCGTTGCCCTGTCGGCGGTTTTGGCTTGGCACCTTGACTGGGAAGCCAAAGGGCTTGAAATTCTCGGTTCTACAGAGGTTGCCTCTGGAGGACTATTCGCTTTCAATTGGCCTTTCCAGCTTGGAAATATGAAACATGTGCGAACAGCATTGAGCAAATCCTTTATAATCGCGCTACTTGGATTCTTTGAGTCATCTGTTGCGGCCAAGGGGCTGGGTGAAGGCAGTTCTGATGGAATCAAGGGAATGCACATGAGTGCTAATCGCGAGATGGTTGCACTAGGCGTCGCCAATGTTATCGGGGGTTGCTTCTCGGCTTTGCCTGCATTTGGCGGATACGGGCGGAGCAAGCTTAGCTCACAGACAGGAGCACGGTCACCTATGACTAGTGTTTTTGTGAGTATCATCACATTCACATGTGTCCTGGTTCTTTTGCCTTATCTCTACTACCTCCCGGTTCGTCCGTCCCAAAAATTTCACCTTACCGGTGTACCTTTTCTAAGTGCCGACCATGCTGATTTATCCAGTAGAAAGCAGTCCTGTGCTCCATGATCTCCGTGGTAGCCTTCACTCTAGTGGAAGAATGCCCGCATGACCTGATTTTCTTCCTCCGCCTACGGGGCTGGTCAGAGCTCGTTCTCATGTTCCTCATCTTCACAACAACAATCTTCTACTCCCTGGAACTAGGCATGGCGATGGGAATGGGTCTGTCAGTGATAATTCTCATCCGACACGCCACAGCCCCCCGAATCCAGATCATGGGCAAGGTTCTCGGTACAGACTCGCGTTTCGACAACGCCGAGCTCCACCCAGAAAACGTGGAGCTAGTCGAAGGCGCCCTGATTGTCAAGATTCCAGAACCCCTCACCTTTGCCAACACAGGCGATCTCAAGAACCGTCTGCGGCGTCTAGAACTCTACGGCTCTACTCATGCTCATCCTTCTCTACCGCGCATGCGCGCCCCGGAGCATAACAAGAATATCATTTTCGATGTTCATGGCGTTACAAGCATCGATGGGTCTGGCACCCAGGTTCTCTCGGAGATTGTGCATGCGTATGCAGAGCAACGTGTCAGAGTGTTCTTCTGCCGTTTGCCGAATATGAGTGTTTTCCGCATGTTTGAGCGGAGTGGTATTGTTGAGATATGTGGAGGATTGACTCACTTTGTTCCTAGTGTTGATGAGGCGCTGCGGTTGGCGGAATCTGAGAATCAAACGCAGGAGATGTGATGTCTATCTTGCTAAAATTGGCGACATGTGTTTGGACATAATGTGAATATCTTGTACAGACATATTGCTTTTGGTCATCTTAAGATGAACAAAAATGGGGTATCACTCGACTTTTGCTCATATTACAGTATCTATCAAAGAGACAGAGAAAATGACCACTTATGTCGTCCCCAGTGACAAGTGTTGGTTTTCCTGGCTTCAATGGAATTTGAAGGATGTAAACTCTTATACTATGCTATGCACCATGATCAAATTTCTTGGGTGTGCCATCTTGGCGATGATAGCCAGCATTGTTGCATCCATTGTACCGGAGTGTTTAAAAACAGAGTGAAAGCACGACGCTAGCAGCTGCAATTCAATTGTCCCGGTTTGCACTTAGTTGCGCAGTCGTGTATTGGCGTATTGGCGACAAGTCCAGCAGAGGGAATAACCCCAACAGCAAGGCTATGGCTCTGTGGATCCAGGTAGGTCATACTGATGAGGTTGCATTGCAGACCTTTAGCTCGTTCTGAACTCCAAAGATATTGTAGCGTATCCCAGTTTCACACTGGCACAGAAAAACACCCAGAAGCTCACGTAGCTGAATGACCCTCCACAACGGCCTTCCGGATTACCGACTGTAGCAGCGATTCTCCTGCTTCCAAAGCACGTTCATTTTTATCGCCTGGAGCGCGAGTGCCCTCATCCCCATCATCCCTATCAGCAGCCACAACCAGCTTCACACGTCCCTCACTGCCCAAAACGAAAGCAGCGCAGGCAACCTTCGAGAGTCGCACATGCTGCTTAGCGACTTGGTCCGAAGACGACCCATCCAGATTCAACTTCATGGCAAGATGCGTCTCCAGATACGAAGTAAGGTTGGCGATGAAAGGGCTGCGCAGTTTACGCTGAAGACTGCGCGATTTTGGCGCTGACTGTCCAGGCTGGTCGCGCAGGAAGCCTGCTAGTGAAGCGCGCGCGACGCTGACGTTCAGGGATCTCAGCGCTGGTGCGATGGATGATGAGAAGGAGAGCGTGAGCTGTAACTCTTTGATAGTATCTTCAACTGTGTCGCTTGTACTTTGCCTTTGGGTGCGCAGGGTATCGATGTATGTCTCTAGACCTAAACAGAGAAAGCTCGACGGCAGTCGGAGGGGCGAGCAATAAGTGTCGAAATTTGTAGTCAAGAAAGTGATGAAGATTTGTCGGAGCGCAGTGGGGAATCTGGTTAGGAGGAGAGGGAGAGATGTGGATCCCTTGCGCTGATTTGGAGATGGTATTGTGTCTGTGAGCAAAGCTGCTTTGTAGACAATATTTTCATATTCCAGCGTTACTAGAATTCCAGGAGTTTTGGTATTCTGGGATCTGCTCGGCGCTTTGTCGCGCAATGATTGAGATGAGATTGGCCGCCATAGACAATCTTTTATGGGGCCTATCTTGGAGAACGTATCGTCTTCTGCTGCGCCAGTGTTTGTATGAATCCCAGCAAGGAGGTCGCCTGTGAGATGGTCGCGTAGACGCGTTGCGTATGTTTTTAAGGCAACCTGGTTGTCTAGGAGGATCTCACAATCCTTCCCATGATGGAGAGGGGAGAGACGGTGGATAGTCCAGGATATGTTGAACAATTGTCTTGGATTTGCTTGTTCCATAGCAGCCGAAATGTGAGTTCGTAATCACCTCGGCTGATTCTTATGCTACAATCGAAGCATATCGTCGAGGAAGATTGATACTTGGCAATGTACATAGCGACGTGTGCCGGTTGCAAACAGAGCAAACTTCTACCAATTCCCTAAATCACCTGAACTACAGCTACTAGTATATTGGATTTGGTTTGAGAGAAAGAAGTAAACACAAGGATGAAATAGAGTGCAAATGAAGTTGGCTGGATTTTCATCTTTCCAACTCCGGTAAACCCCCCCCCCCCCCCCCCAAATTAACAATCTAGACGCCGGACGCCTCCAACACTTGATTAAACGCTTTGACTTCAAAAATCACGCCTGCCATCCTCTCGTAGGATGGCAATCCGGACACCCAAAAACAATTGGAACACCATTCCAGACCCAGACGTGCTCTACATCGTGAGGTATCGCTCGCCGGGCTTTCAATTCAGCCGCAGCAGCAGCAAACCAGATATCTTGCACTGAACTATGCAAATTCTGCGCAGACGCGCGCGCAAAAACAACCGAATTCATGTGATCCTTTTCGTACTTCATCGTGTCCTGATAGAAATTGTACATGAACTCCTTGCGTTGAGTTCGCTGGCTCCCACCGTCCCCGATCTCAGCGGAGAAAAACTCGACGATCCGCACAAACGGCGCCAATGTGAGCAAGGAGCTAATCCACGAGTCATCAATCTCGGCTTGACCATCCGGAGACATGGCGTAGCGTATATATGTAACAAGCAAATGCATGCAATGGTGTGTCGCAACTAGAGCCGGCGTGTTGGTGAAGGGAGGGCTTTGGAGGATCCGGGTTTGCAGCTCGCGGTACATCCTCTGGCGTATCTCGAGTGGCAATGGCACAGGAAGCTGGCCCGCCTCGTATTTTTGGACTAGCATGTTCGTGTGCTCGCGTCGGGCGGACGCGTATGATTCCAGGAAATAGAGTGTATAGTACCTGGTAGAGAAGATGTTAGTGACTTGTTGGAGTTAAAAAACAATTTACCACAGTTCGTACATGAGTGGTGCAAGGTGAAATCGTATGCTGGCTATACCGCGTTTGACGAGGGCGTTGCGCTCGTTTCGCTTTGCAGGAAATGAGGCCTTCATGACTGCCGGTTCGGTCTGGATGAACCGATCGAGGATCCGATCGGCTAGGTAGTAGCAGAGTCTTGAACAGAGCATTTGCCTGCGTCTCAGCCCATGCAAGTATTTGAAGGTATAGAGATGGCCGCCCCTGGCGCTTTTGGACGGTGGAAATAGGTCTGATAACAGCACGACATCGTCGCTGGGGTCTCGAGTATAAGTGCGGTCATCGTCAATTGGCGATGGAAGGGTACCGTGACGACGCAAGCGGAGATATTGCCGGACAATCTCATGCTCATTCCTGGAAAGCAGTTGACAAAACGCCTTGCAGACAAGCCTCAGCGGATGGAAGTCGGTGATGCCGGAATATGCAAATATGCGGATTTGAATCTCGACGGGGAGGTCCCACGGCGAGGAAGCTGGAAGATCTGCAAGGTCATTTCTGACAGGGAAGTGAGCCAGTGAATATCCCGCGGGTTGTCGCAAAACATCTTACCTTAATGACGATTCACGTTGGTCCTTGGCGCCCGCCTTTCTCCTGCTATGGATCGCTGCCCGGACTTTTTGAACTGAGTGGGCGAACTTGGCAAAGCCACTCATTCTTCAGCCCTGCAACACATGAATTGACTGGCTCCCAACGAGAGGCGCACTTTGCCGGGGCTCATGGAGATAAAACAGGTTAATTGAAGGGGGCAATCTCAGCCAGGTTCCATAAATAGCATATGACTAAGCCTTCGATGGTCCCGACCTCGGCAGGTCTGGGCGCGGAATGAAATGAGAGGTTGACTGGCGTCCAAGTGCAAATTAACTAAATGTTGACGATGCCTCCAGTGAGACATGCCAAGCTTGGCTCTCGTGTCAAATAGGACCAACTAGATCAAATGACTGGACAAATTCTCCGAAAGTGATCCAAGATCATAGAGACATGGGATCTCCTTTAGCATCGGGAATGGTCTGATCCGAAATTGATATAAGGAGTTAACAAGATTATTTTAGGCCACCTCTGCATGCTACACAGTGCAGAACAAACTGGCTAGGGGATAGAACCTCAGGCCTCCAGGGCTACTTAGGCGGCAGCAATTACGTCATCCCTTGATTGCGTGCCCAAGGCAACCCTGGAGAGATACTGACTTTACTAGACTCAGTATCTTCAAACATAATAACTAGTACTATTCCAACTTGCAAAATGACCAGCAACATCCTCATCCTAGGTGCCACTCGAGGACTGGGTGCCTCTCTGCGGACATTGTACTCCGTAAAGACAGCGACCCATGTGTTTGCAACTTCCCGATCCTCCAACCCAGAGCCAAGCCCAGGTGTCACCTGGCTGACAGGAATTGATATCTCTCAACCAGATGTGGGCCAAAAGCTTGTTTCGCAGCTTCCATCTACAAAGCTCTCAACAGTCATTGTCAGCGCCGGATACTTTGGCTTTGAGACTTTTGATTCTCCTGACTGGGAGAAGCAGGTTCAAATGTATACGACCTCTGCGATTGGGCCTGTCTTTGTGGTGCATAATCTTGTTAAGGCCGGGTTGTTAGACCAGGGGAGTAAAGTGATTCTCCTCAGCAGCGAGAGCGGCAGCATCACATTGCGTCACGAGAAGGAAGGCGGGGGTAACTTTGGCCACCATGCCAGTAAGGCTGCTTTGAATATGGTCGGGAAGCTGTTAAGTCTGGACTTGAAGCCGAAGGGGATTGCAGTTGGTCTAGTGCACCCTGGATTCATGCGGACGGAGATGACAAAGAGCGTTGGATTCGATAAGTATTGGGATGCAGGTGGAGGTGAGTGGCCACTGCGCTACTTTTACAGACCTTGAGTAAAGGCCTCGTGGATGTGCTAGATCTGACCCAATCTCTTTTGAAAATAGCTGTGACGCCAGATGAAGCAGCAAGAACACTTGCAACTTTCATTGAAGGATTCGACCTTGGCAAAACTGGAGAATTCTGGGCGCCAGGAGGACCGGGGTAAGAAATTTGATGGCATACAATCAACAACCAGGCTAATCCATCTATAACAGAGACATTGGCACTGCAGGAGATGTTCTTGGAAAGAACCTGCCAACTCCTTTACAGCTTCCTTGGTAGAGAGTGAAGGGTTGAATCTTAACTTCCAGAGCTACAAGTCTGGCTTTCTTGCTCAAATTTCAAGTGCCAAGCACCAATTTGAGAGGAGCTGTTTTAATCTAGTGACAGCTGTGAATGCGGTCTCGCACCCATAAACACTAGATTCCTCCTCACATACTGTCGTTCTTCACACCTGACAACCTTCACACCAAAAACCTTCGTGTAGAAAGCCTGCATCGGCACATCACTAGTGAGCAACATGATCCGACGTAGACACAGTATCAAATTCATGGGAAAGGTCTCCGCAACAAAACCCACAAACCATTTGCCACTGCTGCTCTAGTATTCGGGGAGAACGTAGGCATCTGACAGAGAAATAACTTAATAGTAACCCTATAATCACCCGAGCAAGTCCAATCTGTTTTATGGTCTGCGAAGATGGGATGGTAGAGTCCATCTGTACATGCCAAAACTCACGGCGCCGTGAAGCATCTGCCATAGCACCTTCTTCGAGAAAGACTTTTTGACCTAGTAAACAAAGTCTCTGGCGTATCCTGCATTGGTCGCTTTGGGCCGAGAGTAGCTTGGGCTCGGTTGAGATGAAGAATTCGCGCTGGTATCTCGTGTCCATGCTCAAGGTGGCAGTCCGATTTTTGGCGGAGTGGAGGACATGGCGGATGTGAAGAAGGTCGGGTGTTGCGTGCTGAGTTGTGTTTGAAAATACGTGTAGTGGGGGTTCACGAAATAAAGGGTATCTTGAGATGAATATTTTGTATAGTCGTAATTGAAGAAATAGCTGTCTAACGCCCGGTTTGTCATTTGAGTCATGTGTTTAATCTGCACTTGGGTCACATCACATTAGTCTAACAAGACCACTAGAAGGCAACCTGTCAGCGAATCCACAAATTCCCTTCCGGTACAACATACGACAGCCCGGGAGAGAACTACACTAATGTATGCACGCCACTGGTAACAAAGGTGGTACTTTTTCAAATTCACACAGTAAAATTAATTACAGACGAAGCTGTGAACTCCATGCTAAAATGTGATGACTAATTACCACTTATTTTGGTATAAATAACAAAAAAAAGCAATGTGTTAAAAAGCAATGTGTAGAACGGTTAAGACCAGCGACCTAGCAAGTGGGATCATAAAGGCATTTTGTATTGTGATATTGCACAGAGATTACACAGGAAAGGGAGATACCACACTAGCAATACCATGGAGCATATGATATAAATTCAAACAAGAATCTAGGCTGCCACAAAACTGATTGAGCGTGTACCCTGCCACGATAGCCCGAGAACTACAACATACGCTAATGTGTATGCACAGTGCTTTTTTTGGCTAGTAATACCAATACTAGTCATCAGGAATCATCAACTATCAGTCACTATGTAGTTTAGACCTTCTTCTATAATCAATTAATTGTATTAATTTGAAAGAATACCACCTTTGTTACCAGTGGCGTGCATACATTAGTGTAGTTCTCTCCCGGGCTGTCGTAGCAGGGGACTGGTAAGTCCAAGTCCAAAAACACAGTTAGCTTTGCAGATCTACCCTAACTAGGTAATTCCGGTGAGAATTGACCGAAGCCCCATGCCGTAGCGGTGGTTGCACTGCCAAAGGCTTGGGTTGAGCTTATAAGGTAGCCTGAACCGTCAGTCTGATTGGGATCTGTTTCTGATTTCCCTAGGGATCTTACTGCCAGATTTTCCGATTTGTAAAACTCCGGCCACAATTAGAAGTGCAACATGCCATCTCAAACAGAAGTCGATACAGCTCTTGATGCAGCTAAGTCTAAATGGTCTAGCGGTAACGGAGCAGAGCACGTCCAAGCTCATGCATCAGATCAATTGGCGTCGGAAGCTGACAGAGTAATATGTTCCCTTGACGCGGTTGAATCTGGGTTGTTTGGCGGCAACGAAGTCGAACGTCAAAAGGTACGCGCTGCAGCACGTCGTCTACTTGCCAGAGTGGAAACACCACTTGAGCGTGCCTTGGGCCTCTGCTTCGAGCAGCCTGTCGTCTTTGCCGCTCTACAGACATGCATCGATTTGGGCCTTTGGAGATCCTGGACAGCTATTGGGGGTGAGAAGTCTATCGACGAACTCGTCGCATTTACCACTCCCACTGTGGATTCAAACTTGCTACGTAAGCTTTCTTTTTACTCTCTTCGGACACTCAACCAACAAAAGCCTCATGAAACTATACAGGCCGACTGTTCCGCTTACTCGCTGCTTTCAATGTGGTTGAGGAGACAGCGGAAGACAGATTCAAACCCACTCCGTTCTCGAATGCTATCGGCGACGAGAGCACCAATGTCCGCGCCTCGCTTCAAACGGGGTAAGAATATCATTCTGCTGTTGGTCTAGTGTCATACTAACATTTTGGACGTTTCAGGACGTATCAATACCTTCCCGCGGGCCACAACTTGCCATCTTATCTAGCAAGGATATCTTATAAAGAACCCACGGATATCAATACGAATAACCACTCCGAGAGTGACCCCGACGGCCTTAACTTCTTTGGACGATTGCAGAAAAGCCCCGCTTACTTTGAAGCTTTCTATGGCCACATGGAGGCATTAACAGCACGGAAGACACCGTGGACTCAGGTTTACGATACAACAAAGCTGCTCGAAGGTGCCAAGCTGGAGAGTGGCTCTCCATTCGTGGTGGATATCGGTGGAAATACTGGAATTGATATTAAATACGTCCTTAAAAAACACCCAGATCTTCCTGCTGGATCACTGGTTCTGCAAGATCTCCCAAAGGTGATTGCCAAATTGCACGTTGATGACAAGATCTCAACCATGGTTCATGATTTCTTCTTACCTCAGCCAGTGAAAGGTAAGATCAGTTCCGGTGCAGATTTTCAGGCAAGTTTACTGATACCCAATCCACAGGTAGTCGCGCATACTTTATACATGCAGTTCTTCACGATTGGCCAGATGATAAAGCTAAGAAATTGCTTGTGAACACCAAAGATGCAATGGTCAAGGGCTACTCCAAGCTTTTAATCTATGATGTTGTTCTCCCACCCACAGGAGCGAGCAGTAATCAGGCTACAATGGACGTGGAGATGATGTCCATCCTGTCCGCTTCCGAACGAACTCAAGGCACTTGGATAAAACTGTTGACCGATGCTGGTCTTAAAATTGTCAACTTTTGGCCTGACCCTCAACAGTATGAGATGGTCATTGAGGCTGAGATAGCCTAAATTTGTTTTGCTTCTCGGTGGGTTATTTTGTTTCTCTTCTTGCGCTCGATTCGAATTTTCCTTCGGCTGGCCTACTTGATGTTTGCCCTGTACAGATAGTACCTAGCGAGGTAATTCATTGACCCTATTGGGAGAATGATGGACCTGAAAACCATGATTCCACAGGAGTAAGCAAGAAAACAAAAGTGAACAGGATGGTGAAGGTTAATAATGGCTTGGTGGATCGTTCCCCTTGCTTGAATTTCTTTCTTTTCCAATGGACAGGCACATACCTCCAATAATCGAAAGAAACTCACTTGAACATCTACTCCAAAATTTGGGAGACCATCTTGAATATCTTGGGATGTCCAAGGTAGGCGGGAATCTTCCCCACGAGCTCTAATCGGCCGAAAGGTCAAATGGCGATATCCCAATGTCAGACTACGCCCCACCATTGACTCCAACCGAAACCCCCTACAATGGCGTGGCGAGTGGAGAGAATGGTGTTCACGATAACCTCCTCGGCACGTCATCACGGATGGCGATGATGTTAGCGACATCAAATCAGTCCCCAGAATATCACAACGTAGCCGCATGTTCGAATAATCCAACACTTCAAATCAAGTAAACTATCAGATTTGACGCATAGGATTGCAATTCGCATTAGGTGACGTGCAAAACGTTTCACATGACGTGTGGGCGCGGGTGGTCCAAGTCATCTACAAGAATGCTGGGATATCCAACTCGGTTCGACAGCGGTGAATTCTTATACTGTGGTTGTTTAGAGACTTGCCACGAGAAATCAGAAACTACTAAGCCACCATGACTATTGTACAATCCCCCGAGGTGGCTCTTCCTTTGTCGAAGATCGGGCCTACCTCAGAATCAATCAAGGGTCCTTCGGACGTGGATGCACCAACCATTGTAACGGTGAATAATCTCAACAAACTATCAAAGAAGATTGAGCCTGTCCGATTTGAACTAGAGGAGCACCCGGTTGATGTGGTGCGACCCATCAAGGTTGGTATTATCGGTGCGGGTCTTGCAGGGATTACCGCGGGCGTGTTGCTCCCTGAAAAACTGCCAGGACTTGATCTTCGAATCTATGAGAAGAATGCGGATGTGGTATGTTAATTTGGTCCCTTGATGGGTTGTTTTGAAGCTAACCACGTTCTTTAGGGAGGCACATGGTACATTCTCCATTCGGCTCTTGTCTCTATTGGCGAGTTGCTAATTCGTGTCGAACAGGTTCGAGAACACATACCCCGGGGTTCGCTGCGATATCCCTGCACATGTATATCAATCCAGCATCTCGCCTAATACCCAATGGACGGAAGAATTCGCCCAGGGAGAGGAAATCAAAGAATACTGGCAGAGTGTTGCACGGAAGCACAATGTGTACCAGTACCTCCGTGTGAGGCAAAAAGTGCAGAAGGCCGAATGGCAGCCCAAGAAAGGGAAGTGGAATGTCACTGTGGAGCATGTGGATGGCTCGAAGGTAAGAAATGGTTGATTTGACCTTGGTGCTGTGCTCACCTCAATGGAACAGATCTATGAAGAAGAGCTCGACGTGGTAATCAACGCCATAGGTCATTTCAATGCCTGGAAGCTACCCGACTATGAAGGAATAAACAGTTACGAGGGACAACTGTTTCACTCCTCTAACTGGAATCCAAGCATCGATTTGAAAGGCAAGCGAATTGCTCTCATCGGAAACGGCGCTTCCGGCTTGCAGGTCCTGCCATCTATTCAGCCATTCGCTAGCCACGTTGACCATTACGCTCGGAATCCGACTTGGATCGCAGATTCATTCAGCAGCGGAAACGTTGGTATCCGTCGACTGGAGCCCAATTTCTTCTCCGAGACACAGCTAGAGATATGGAAAGATCCCAAGGCGTATCTGGAATACCGAAGGGATGTCGAAAAGGGATATTTCCAGCGCTTTGAGGCAATCTTCAAAGACACGTCTGAAAATAACGAACTGCGTGAGAAATGGACCGCCCTGATGTTGCAGCGTGTTGCAGGGAAGCCGGAATTGGCAGAAAAGATCATCCCAGACTTCCCCCCGGCGTGCCGCCGCCCAACACCAGGACCAGGATATCTAGAGGCCCTATCCAAGGAAAATGTGGACTACATCCAGACGCGCATCAAGCGATTCACCGAGAAAGGTATTGTAACCGAAGACGGCGTGGAGCGAGAAGTGGACATCACGATCTGCGCCACAGGAGCCAACGTCGACCACGCACCCCCATTTTCCATCATCGCCGACGGTGTCGATCTAAAGCAAGCCTGGAAACAAGATGGTAAATTCGGATTCCCGTACTCATACCTTGGCTTTGCAACCCCCGGATTCCCGAACCTCCTCTGGCTTGGCGGACCATATGCCTCGGGACACAGCGGGACAGTGCCAAACAACATCGAGAACCAGGTGACATATATTGCGAAGGTACTACGCAAGATCCGCACGCAGGGTATTCAGTCCATTGTCCCGTCCAAGCAAGCGACCGATGACTTCGTCGAGTACTGCGACCAATTCTACCCGCGCACTGTGTGGTCGGCGAACTGCAGCTCGTGGTATAATGGTGGCAACCCCGGGTCTCGTATTCACGGTCTCTTCCCCGGCAGTGCATCACATTCAAATTATGTGCGCCGAGATCCGCGCTGGGAGGACTGGGAGTATACCCATGTCAATCCAAGTGGGAATCGATTTGCTTACTTTGGTAATGGGTGGACTTCGAAGGAGTTGACTCCTGATGCGGAATTGACGCCTCATTTGAGATTGCCGGAGGAGATTAATTTGAAGACTCACATGGAGGGATGGTGGGATGTTTGATTTGATAGACTGGGTGATTCCAATTTCAGGTTGTATTTTCTATCTGGAAATGTGCATAGGGATGAATCGGCGTTTAGCGATACTCTTCTTACTCTGTTCATGCTTTCAGACATATTCGTAGCCATCGCCAGGTCCCTGTTTTGGCAAAAATGTCACATATTCAAGAAATCCAAGAATCAGAAGGAGGATGAAGCCCTATAAATCTTCTATAACGTGCTCATAGCAACAGGTAATTTCGAAATTGTTCTACCACAAAGAGACTACTAGCTGGATTCCTCCAATAAATACGGAGGCACCTCCTGACCCTCCTTCCAGAAGTATTTCGCGCCAGGGTGCGTATCAGGGAGTCTGGACTGACCCTGCTTTCCGTACATGTTCTCGCGGAAAGTTCCACCCTTGACAGCATAGTCCGACCAGAACAGACCACGGCGCTGCAACTCTGGCAGCAGCAACCGAATAACATCATCAAAGGTATCAGGGAGACTAGCGTAGCTGAGATTGAATCCGTCAACATCGCCAACCGTCACCCATCGCTCGAGCTCATCAGCCACCGTCTTCACACTGCCAATGATTTTGACACCATTACCCCCGAGCACCAAGTACTCCGCAATGGTCTTCTTATCCCACTTCTGGCCTTCGGTGCCGGGAACCGTACTAGCCCAGTGATTCACCATACTACGAACAGCAGGCAGCTCCACGAAACGGAAGTCCTGATCATCAGAGTAAGTCGACAGATCGTATCCAGTCCAGCCACCAAAGAGAGCAAGCGCGCCCTCCCGATCACCGTACGTCTTCAACTCCTCAAATTTGGCAGTCGCTTCCTCGTCTGTCTCAGCCACGATCACCAACGCACCCGCGATGACCTTGATGTGCTGCGGATTACGTCCGATCTCCGCAGCCTGCTGGCGGATACTATCAACAGAAGGACGAACGAGCTCAGGTTTCTGCGCATGCACGAAGACAGCCTCGGCATGCTTCGCCGCGAACGCCTTCCCCGCCGTCGATGTACCAGCCTGCAGGATAAACGGCGTGCGCTGGGGACTTGGCTCACAGAGATGAGGACCAGGAACCTGGAAATATTTCCCCTTGTGGTTGATTTCACGAACAGCTTTTGGATCCGCGTACGCCTGTGTCTTGCTCTCGGAGCCTTGCTTCCAGGATACGGCACCGTCTCTCCAGGACGCCTCCCATAGCTTGTAGGTGACGTCGAGGTACTCGTCGGCAATGCGGTAGCGCTCATTGTGCTCGACTTGGGTGTCGAGACCGAAGTTGCGAGCCGCGGAGTCGAGATAGGAAGTCACAATGTTCCAGCCGATGCGGCCGTTGCTGAGATGGTCGACTGTTGAGAAGCGTCTTGCCAGAGCATAGGGGGAGTCGTATGTTGTTGAGGCAGTTACGCCGAACCCGATTGATTCTGTTGCTGCTGCCATGGCGGGGACACTGTAGAGGGGGTCGTTGATTGGGAATTGGGCGGCGGCGGGGATTGTTGGGGAGAGGTTTGAGGGACCTCTGTATACATCGTAGCCTCCGAGGACGTCGGCGAAGAAGATGGCGTGGAATTTGGCATCTTCAAGCTTCTTGGCTAGGGCGATCCAGTGCTTGATATTTTTGTAGTCTGCGCCTTGGTCTGTAGGGTGACGGAATAGACCCGGATTTAGGTGACTTGGCGATTGCATTGCGAAGGCATTAATAATGAGTTGTTTCTTTTCGGAAGACATGGTGATGGTGTTTGTCTAGTTTTGGGATGAGAGTGTAGAATTGATCGTTTGCTATTTTATAGAGCTCTGGAGGATAGGTTGTTGTTGTTCACATCTGCTAACCCCGCGGCACCGTGAGACGCGCAAAAAGACGTGCAGTTGGAGGTCGATGGCGTCAGGATGCGACTGTGGGGGTTGTACATAGTCGATAGCTATTGGGGTCTAGAGGTTTCCAATGGTTCCTATTTGATAATATGTGTTGCACTTGTACGTTTTATCTTCTCTCGTGCGAGTGAAGTGTTGGTGTATGTATTGTCCTATATGGGAGTCAAGGATTTCTCTATGGTTTCTATACTTCCTACGGTTTCTGGATGGGGACTATCTTTATCATGACCATTCATTGTGATCATAGTTAGAGTCCATGATACACTTGATTTCTTTACGAAGTGGTGTCCACTTGATACTCCAGTGATATGTAGCTGGATTGGTAC